GAGCGACATCTAGTCTAATTTCATATAATAATATATAATATATTCTTATTCGCGCTGTTATGTTGCCGACACTTGGTAAAGTCGTAACTTCCTCGGTTGAACGGGTGATGTCGCTGTAAAAGAATGATCAGGCGCAGGAGCCAAGGGCACGGTTGTCCTAACGGGTTGCCTGTCGGCAGGAGTTTAGTCGGTGCCGGTCCCGAAACGCGTTCACGTCTGGACATTATACGGGACACGATATTTAAAATGGCAATAGACATGTACATTTGATAGGACTGTCGATTCGAGGGGATTACCGACTCGGTTCAACCAGAACAATACGGCATAATGAGCGGCTGACGAGGTGTAATAACGACGCGATATGAACGGATAGTCGAGGGACCGGTGTTTGCCAGTTTATCCCTTGAAATTCCAAAACGAGCCAATTTCGGAAGGGGGGGTGTGATATCGTTTCCCGTTCAATCAACTTCTTGTTAGTTTTCCGCGCGAGATAGACGTGGTGTGTGGTCAGTCAGGCATTCTAATGGCACGCCCGTGACCAATGATATCCCAGGATAAAGGTAAGCGATATCTTCGCCGCGTCGCCTTCCTTTTCACGCCACTCTTGCACGATACACGCGCGGATCGTTGTCACGTATCGGCGACAAATTTTGATCGAATTGCACTCTTTGCAGAGCAGGATTGCAATCGTAAGACCGGAAACATTTCGATGTTGAAATATTATAAATAAATTAAGAACAAAGTTTTATTTTAAATAGAAAGTGAATTTCCTTATGAAAGTTATATTTATGCAAAATTTTATTTGGTAGAATTTTTTATTAGTAAAATTTAGCGAATACAATAGAAATTTTTAATAGTGATTTTTTTAAATTTTTGATTCGAATTAAATTTTTAACTCTTCGAAAAGTGAACGAGCATTCATTTTGAAGAGAAATTGGAAGAGACAAAATTAACAGATATATTTTAATATATACATATATCTTTTTACTGTTCTACAAGTTAGAATCTTGTTTTACTTTCCAGATATTTTAAATTTTAATTTTCTCATTCAGTTTTTCCCATAAATCGAAAATTAACGAATATCGATTATTTAAACTTTGTTAAATTTTGTAGAAATGTAAGAATTATGAGTTTGAATTCTCCGACGATTTAATTCATCGCAGATTCAAAGATTGCAGGGAATCTCGCAGGAATATGAAAACTGACTGAATTAATTCGCCGATTTCGTTAGAAATCCTGGAATTAAAACTGCAAACTTCGTAATCCATTTTATCGAGCTCATTTCAATTACCACTAAGCTTTTTAATTTCCAGTTAAAAACATCAGCTGATAAATATAAATCCTTCGTTTACGATATTACTTCAACATTTTGAAATATAACGGGAGTTAATTTTAAAAATTCGAGAATTAATACAAACGAGTGATCGTGGATCATATTAAACGCCAAATGTTAATCTCAATGAAATTGTTCTCGGTGATTGATTTAACATTCGTTTCTTTAATTTTTTAACGAGTCCAGTTTATCAAATTTGGAATCGGTCTCTTCGCTTTCTCTCTCTTCCAATTTTCAACAATTTTTTTACGTGCTTTTCTTCACGAAGAAAAGAGCCTCTCTCGGATAGTTTTGTAAAATAATCGAATTCGTTCAATTATATTTGTTAAGGAATACTCTTCTCTATTTTATTAGATTAATAAACGATATAAAGATAATTAGATTTTTTTTTAATTTGAATAATTGAAAACTCGGATAGTTGTATCGCTTTGCAAAATATTTTAATTATTACACAGGTTATCAAAGTTTATCAATTCTTTTATTAATTGTTTTCCTTGTGTTTCATTTTAATATCTTCTTTCCTTCCCTTTTTGATCTTTATATTTGAAAAAAGTCGATAGAAATATTTATAATATCTCGATTAATCGATCAATTTTCAAACGTTGTACAACACGTTCACAAGTTTACAATGTAATTACACGATAAATTAATTAGGTAAACAAATTAAACGAAATTAACACAACCGTGTATTGTGTAATGTACTCAATAACGTTGATTTAATATTATTATTCAGAGCAATCAATTTTCCAAGCAGATATCGTTTAGGCTAGTCGATAAATATGATTTGAAATATCCATTGATCGATTTTATTCATTATTCAATTTTATTCATAATTTTTGGATCAACGCTTTTAAAATAATGAATTAAAATAAATTGATTTTTCGAGGCTGAAACGAGGAATAAAACAAATTATTTTAAAAGATTGTTAATAACCAAAACTATTGTTTATAATTAAAAATTCAAACTCTTCGACGAAATTTTTTTCCTCCTCGATTTTTAAATCGTCAACAGAAATAACAATCCTTTCAAATTCTTTCTCTTCTTGATTTTTCCCCTATTTCGAAAAATCACTGCTCTCAATCTTCGAATAATTTTCTCAAACGCAATTACATCAATCCTCTTCAACAAAATAATAATATTCCAAAGACGTCTAATCTAAGTCTAAGAATTAAATTATACTTCAACGTAACCGCTCATCAACGTCTCATCCTCAAAATCCTCGACAAGCAAAACAACGCGTATACGTCGCCATACGCCAAGATTCGACAATTTTTTCTCCTTCTCTTTCTCCTCTCTTTCTTCCTCCCCCCCTCCCCTCCCCTCCCCGCGAGCAACGGTTTCATTTCTTAGACCGTGCGCGGTGGCGTTTC